AAAAATGAATGTTTTCAGATTTCTTGGGAGTCGAAGTGTCGGCGGATGGATTTATTTCCGGGGGGGTTTAAACAGAGAATTGAAAGAGGGAAAAAAGGGGGTGGTGCATTGAGGTATTTGTGGAGACAAAAAAATTTTTTATTTGGGGGCAAAGAAGGGGAAAGTTGAAGTATTGTATTTTCCCCAAAACTCTTATATGGGTGTGAAGTTGGGGTTTTAAAAGCAGGGGCGAGGAGCGGGTTGGGGGCAAATGGAGATGTCCAAAAGGGGGAGTTTTACCTGGAGTTTACCCGGGGAAAAGGGTTTCCGGGGGCAACGCCCCCGGGGGCCCGGGCTGTGACCAGGCCTAGGTGGGTCAGAAGGGCCCGATCAAAACCCGGTGTTGCGCGGCTGCACGCAAACCCAAAGTCGAGGGCCCCGCCCGGCCCGATCAGGAAAAACTTTAGGTGCTTGTCCAGTGCTAGTTGAAAACTGCCAGGGGGCTGTTGGTAATCCCCCTTATGTGTGGGGGTGGGGGGGGGCAGTTGAACAGTTTTGGGGCCCCCGAACTTATTGTTGGTCTCTTAACGGTTTCTAGTGAAAACCCCTGCTTTTCTTTGGGGGGGTTTTTTCATCTCTTTCCAATTTTTTTGCTTTCGTGTGGTGTTTTCAGTGCAAGGGTTTGGTTTCTAATCCCTTAAAGGGTTTTCCAGGGTATATAAAAACTTTATCTCTCCCCCCCCTGCGTTTCCCGGGAAAAACAGGTTTAGGAACCCCAAGGGTCCCCGTAATTGAGGTGTTTTTTTCTGTTTTGCGGCCCCTGAAAGTTCTCTGTACATTTTCTGGTCGGCAATTTCACCTCCTTAAAAGGGGCGTTAGTGTGCAGCAATATTCCCCGCCTAGATAGAACAAATGACCTGAAGAGTGTCATCATGGGCTTGGCCTCCCTAAATTTTTTAAGGTTCTTTATTTTCCATCCCCGTCATTTTTCTTGCCCGAGCGATTGTTTCAATGTTATGGTCCTTGGGAAAGGGGAGATCCTTTCCGGAACATATCCCCCCTCCCAGGTCTTTGAAAGTTTGGGGGTTTCGCTCATTTTGGGCCAGGAAATTTTTTTTTGTACTCGGGTGAAGAATTTTAAATTTCCCCCTTTTTTACCATATCTGGGGAAATTTTTAATTTTTTCATCGTTGAAAAATTTTTTGTTTTTTCAGCCCCCCTGAAAGATCTGGTTGAAAGTTTCCCCCTGGAGCCTTGCGTGTCTGCAATGGAAACACTGTCCCTGCAGATTCGGGTTCACTGCAAAGGGAAAGGGGCACGGTGCTGTGGCTGACATCCTTGTCTATGTTGGTATGAGGATGAGGGGAAAAAGATGGGAGCGAGTACTGTGCCCTTTTGGAACAGAGCTTTTCACCGTCTGCCTCAGACTTTTTCTCTGTTGACGACTACTCTCCCGTGTTTTGTTAGTGAGGAAAAATTTTGATCCATCAAAGACTTTTCCTGTTATTCCCCTTTAAACACGCATTTTTGTGGCTATTAGGGCCCTGGTTTACACTTGGGCGAAGGGTTTTTTTCAAAGCCCGTATAAAATTACATCTGCATTCTTTTTGGGCTTCTTGTGCATTTTGGACCCCTTTTCGTAGTGATCCAATAGTTGAGCGAAGGAGCGACCTGGTTTTTAAACCCTGTTTCCCTTGGGGTTTTGTAAATGATGGGTTTCTAGATGGGGGGTGATTTTTGCTTTTTTAGGGCCCCCTTTAAAGAATTTTTTTGGGTAAAGGGATGTTAGTGCTATTGGTCTTTAAATTCTTTGCTGTTTCTTTTTCTGCCCCCCTTTTTGGAGTGGGGTATGTCTGTTGTTTTTAGTAACTGTGGGACGACCCCCTGTCCTGCTCCCTCTCCATAGGTGGAAAAGGCTTGTGATGGGCTTTCCCTTGCATTCTTGATGAAACAGAGTTCCCTGAGGGCTTGGGGGCCCGGGGAAAGTTCAAAGGGGAAAGTTATTTTCGCCCTGTTCGAAGTCATTTTGGGGGGTTAGGATAACATCGGATAAGGCTTGTTTTTAATCAAATTTTTTTGGCCCCTTCATAAAAAAAAACATTTTTTAACTTCGACTCTCATCTGGTTAGCGGCTTGCTAAAAACTGAGTTTATATTGGGGGCTTGAGGCTCGCTTTAAATTTTATTTCTGTTATCTGTGTGGAAACCCTCTTGTTTAAGTAGGGGCCCCAAAACTTGGGCGTTGTTCTCGTTTTGATTTGGCAAAGGAGGGAAAAAAACTTTTGGGGTTTCCTTTTTGATTTCCCTTTAGGCTTTTAGTTCTTCCCGCATTCCCGATCCCAAAGGATTCTTTTAGCTTTAAATTCGAAAGCTTGCTTTTTCTGACCCAAATGCCCCCCTTCGCATTTTAGAAAATTTGACCTCTTTTTAGGGGCCCCCTGTTATTCCTTTTTTTCCCTCGCCTGTAAAGGGAGCGCCTTTTTCCCTTTTTATTTTACATCTACTCCTCCTTTTTTTTTAGAGGAAATAACCTTGTGCAATTTTTTCGAAATGCCCCCCGAGTTAATCTGTTCTAGGAAAGTTGGGGTCTGTGTTTCTTAGTATATCTTTCCCCGTTATATCGGTTTAGGACTTTGGGTTTTCTTGGTCCCCCCTTTTTGTTTTGTTTTTTGAAGTTGAATTTGGTGAATGCTCCCCCGTGATAGTTTTTCATTATGGGCGGTCTGGGGGTCCCCCATAAAATTTTCTGAAAACCCAATTATGTTTTGGGTCTGAAATACGTTATTGTTTTTTTATATGGGGGACCCTTTCTTATCAGATCATCATTGTTAGTGAAGATGAGGTCTAGTGTATTCCCCCAGTCAAATTTGGCTCTATTATTTGCTGGTTTTAAAAATTTAATTTTGTGCAGAGATTTAAAAGCTCGTTTTGATGGGAGTTTTTATCAGAGTTCCTCCCGGTGTTATTACGGGAACAATATTATTTGCTATATTCCTCCATTTTGGTGCCTTAAGTTGAAAAACCCCCAGGAGCAAAATGTTGGGTGCAGGAGCTGGAAGATTTTCCAGACAGTGGTCAATTTTTACAGCTGTTCCTGGAAATTTTTGGATGTTGGGATCCCGGGGGCTTGTAGACTACCACAATGACTAGGGTTTTTTTTTTTCGACCTTTTTCTGCTAAAACTTCCCCTCATCATTTGAGGCATTTAAACAGTTCGTGCAAACAAGGACTCGGGGAAAGTACAGGGCCCAAACCCCCCCCCTTTTTCCGTTAAATCTGTCACATCCCGTATAGGTTGTAACCTGGGATCCATTTTTCGTTGTTCCCAAAAGGGTCCTTTATGGGGGGTCTCGGTAAAAAAACCCCCGAACATTGCCTTTTGGGCCCCTCCCAAAACATCCAGGATGAAAAAGGGAAATTTTTTTGTTTGTTGGGGGCTTTAGACCTGTAATTTGCAAAGAAGAATGTTATCGGAAATGGTGGTATTGTTGGTACTGGGGGGGGGATTTTTTTTTTTGGCCCTTAGAAACTGTACTGTTTTGGGTTTTGGGGTGGAGGGGCCCTCGACTGGGGGTTCCACTCCAGGGATAAAAATGCAAAAAATTTGAGTGTGGAAATTAGGAGAAAAGGGGAGGAAATTAAAAAAAAGTATTTTCAGAGGGCCTTTAAAAAGGGTTTGTTGAGGTGGGGTTTTGGTTTATTTAGAGAGAAAGGGTCAAAGAAAAATGACATGGAGAGCATTTTTAAAACTGTAGGGAAGGAAGTGGGGGGAGGGGGCGTTTCCCTTTAAAAGGTTTGGGAAAGGGAAGGGGGGGAGGGGGGTTTTGTGGGCGAGAGGCTTGGCTTTCCCGCCAAATTGCAAGAGCCCTGTTCGAGGGAGTGAATGGGGGGAAAAAATGGGATTTGGGGGCCCGGGCGATCTGTTGGGCTTTTAAATCCTGGGAAAAGGGAAATACAATGCCTGCACTCTAAAGGGAAAAAGGGTTTTGGGATATTACGTTTGGAGGGGAAAGGTGTGTCTCTTTATGCGATATGCTTCTAAGCCCGTTTTTATTCTGGGCAAACCCCTTTCAAAAACAAACGATTATTTGTGAGGAAAAGATGATGAAAATATTTTCCCTTTTTTGGGGAAATTTTTTTTCTTTTTGGGGCACCCTGCCCCATTGGGAGAAAGGCCGACTTGTTTAAAAAAAAAAAAAAAAAAACTGACATGCCAAAAAAAATAGGCACAGACAGGATAAACAAGACAAAGCTTTTTGACTAGGGGTGTAATAAAAAAAACCCCCAACTCAGTCAACAAAATAGCTGGAAAAAATTTAATACGAGCAATAATGGGAGTGGGAATGGCTAAAAAAATAACAAAAAGAATTATTACCAAACATAACAAAGTGGGGTAAAAAACCCCCTAGGGCCAAACGAATAAAAGAAAGTAAAAATTCTATACAAAAGTTCAAAAAAAAATTTTTATTAGGACTAAAAACACTCAGTCAAAAAAATTTAAAGAGAGGGAGACCAAGAACTAGAATTCACTTCCATCTTAGAAAGTTAAACAGGCAACTACCAGAGCAGCTTAATTCACTGGAAACTATACATCCATTGTGAGCACTGCAAAGAAAGACTTAGGGATGAGCACTGCCAGACAGAGATATACCCAGGCATTGTTTGATTCCTGAACTCAGTGAAAAGCAAGTGAAGACCTTTATTACAATGTTTCTTCTAGGAGTGGACTTTTATCAGTATACAAAAATAAACACACATTGCCTTACAAAGCAAGTGAGCACCTCGAGCTCACGCTCGGGAAGGTAAAAAAAAAAAAAATTACAAATAAGGTATGCCTTATATGGTGATGTATATATGTTAAAGTCCAGTCGTGGGTGTAACTTCACAATAAATATTTCCTAGCAAACAATGTCATTCTCACTGCATGTCAGCTTACACTATATTTTAACCACAGAATAGCAAGCTCTAGAAATTCTTTTCTAAACCCAAAGAATGATACATGAATAAGGTTGTGGGACTTACTTTAATGTGTGGTGTAACTTCAGAGCTGCCACTGCATTGAAGTGTGGCAGACTCTCCCAAGGCCACAGTAGTGTTGGCAGGATCCAGAGGGTTGAATTCTGGCTCTCTTGGGCGTGCTTGATCTGACAAGATCATCATATTTAGCAATTAGTGTTTATGCTATAAGACAGAACTCCAGTATATAATGCATTTTTACATTCAATAAAAATTATACATCCTTGAAAAATTACATAATCTTAATGTAAAGAACAGTGGTTGGGAAATTTTACTACTCAATCCAAATTTGTTGTGACTTACAGTAAGTGACTCAAAAAACTGCAGATATGGTTTGTGGAGTGCAGATAATGGACTTTGGATTGGTTTGTGATGATTTCTGTAATAAGACATCTCTTGAAAGTTGGTGTCTTAAGCCTTCAAATCAAACCTGACTGCCTTCTCAGGTAATGCATGATTCCCACGGGTTTAGCATTTTCCCATGAATACACAGTAACAAAAATAATGTAAGGCACTAAATTAGCTAAGGTAGCAACAAGCTGTTTATGATTTTAGGTAGGATATGCTTCAAAGGTGTCTTGATGCTAGCAAAGGAATCATAATCCAAAGAATTTGAGCTACAATACTTTTCCTTGGATTGAATCTCTTTCCCTCCCACTCCTCTGGCACTGTATAACACTGACTATACTATAACAACTATGTAAAAAGACATTTTAATGTCTTATTACTTGTTTAGGTGTACAGCTTCAAGCTGCTCTTCCCTTGTCATGGGCTTTTGTCTAATGATGAATCCTCAGTCTGCCTTTAAGTAGTATTTTCATCATCACTTAATTTAATACTCCTTAAATTATTTAAAATCTATTTCTTGCAGTCTTTCTTCATAACTCTTGCATCACAGGCCTGGCATTAGGGGAGAGGCACATCTCTAAACTTTCTGAAGCTTTATATATTACAGTACTATGTGCTGAATGCACACTGGTGTTGCATAGTCTAGGAATGGTTGTACATATGTAATGAAGAGATATATAGGAGTCTGCTCAGGGGTTCTTATTTTGGAGAGAGAGAGAGAGAGAGAGAGAGAGAGAGAGAGAGAGAGAGAGAGAGAGTGAGAGAGAGAGTGAGAGAGAGAGTGAGAGAGAGAGAGAGAGTGAGAGAGAGAGAGAGAGAGAGAGAGTGAGAGACAGTGAGAGAGAGAGAGAGAGAGAGAGTGAGAGGTGAGAGAGAGTGAGAGAGAGTGAGAGAGAGGAGAGAGAGTGAGAGAGAGTGAGAGAGAGTGAGAGAGAGTGAGTGAGTGAGAGTGAGAGTGAGAGAGAGAGAGAGAGTGAGAGAGAGAGAGAGAGTGAGAGAGAGAGTGAGAGAGAGAGTGAGTGTACGAGTAGTCACCTATTTGTGGTTGCAGGGGTTGAGTCATAGCTCCTGGCCCTCCCTCTTCACTGATTGCTACTGGTTCCTCTCTCTCCCTGCTCCATGAGCTTCATCAAACCTCATCTTAAAACTATGTGTGGTTCCTGCCTCCACTACATCATTTTCTAGGCTATTCCACTTCCTGACAACTCTGACTGAAGAAATACTTCCTAACGTCCCTTTGATTCATAGGCGTCTTCAACATCCAACTGTGACCCCTTGTTTCTGTGTCACATCTCTGGAACATCCTGTCTTTGTCCACCTTGTCACCTTGAGTGTGTGTGTGTTTGGGTGGGTGGGTAGGTAGGGAAGAGATGTTTAAGTTGACAGGTTTAGCATGGGGCCTGCTTCCAGGGTTTGTTTGAAACAGGCATCTATTAGGAAGTAAGCCTACCTATGACTCTGAGGGTCCAGTTGGCAGCTGCTGCACCAAATTGGTTGGCGGCAGCACATGTGTAGGTTCCAGCATCCTGGGGCCTCAACTCCAGCAGTTGAAGATAGTGACGTGTGAGGCGTGACTCTCCCCCAAGAGATCCCTCTCGAAGTTCAACACCATCCTGAGGAAATAATGCAATTTAATGCCACTAACACACAAACAATAATTATGGTACTCACATTATTTGATGACAAATGGAACAATCTGTTACTCAAAGCATATCCTACAAATAACCCATACAAAACAGTGTATATGAGGTGGCTTTACCCCATGCCTTCCATCTAGTAAATTCCATGCTATTTTTTCATATGGTACGGCATATTTTTCCCTGTTTTTATACCAACAGTGGCTGGATAGTCTTCTGCTTTATTATCCTTGCCTCAAACACCCTGATAGCCTCAATGTGGGCTCTCATGTCCTATACTGTGTATTTCCCATGAATTTTTTTTTTAATTTCTGAAAGTTTTTCCATATGGAATACAGATTTAGATTCACACTTAATAATGCTGCATTTTAAAATGCATACATATAATACTATTCTTGGATATGTGGGGTACTATTTATTCTCCATACCTACTAAATATTTCATAATCTCTAATTATGTTTAAATATTTAAGTCAGCTCATTTAAAGAAGTGAATTACCTGGTAAAGTGTATGGTAGAGTTATTATTGAAAGAATTAAGAGTAAGACGGAGAATAGGATAGCAGATGAACAAGGAGGCTTTAGGAAAGGTAGGGGATGTGTGGACCAGGTGTTTACAGTGAAACATATAAGTGAACAGTATTTAGATAAGGCTAAAGAGGTCTTTGTGGCATTTGTGGATTTGGAAAAGGCGTATGACAGGGTGGATAGGGGGGCAATGTGGCAGATGTTGCAGGTGTATGGTGTAGGAGGTAGGTTACTGAAAGCAGTGAAGAGTTTTTACGAGGATAGTGAGGCTCAAGTTAGAGTATGTAGGAAAGAGGGAAATTATTTCCCAGTAAAAGTAGGCCTTAGACAAGGATGTGTGATGTCACCGTGGTTGTTTAATATATTTATAGATGGGGATGTAAGAGAAGTAAATGCGAGGGTCTTGGCAAGAGGCGTGGAGTTAAAAGATAAAGAATCACACATAAAGTGGGAGTTGTCACAGTTGCTCTTTGCTGATGACACTGTACTCTTGGGAGATTCTGAAGAGAAGTTGCAGAGATTGGTGGATGAATTTGGTAGGGTGTGCAAAAGAAGAAAATTGAAAGTGAATACAGGAAAGAGTAAAGTTATGAGGATAACAAAAAGATTAGGTGATGAAAGATTGGATATCAGATTGGAGGGAGAGAGTATGGAGGAGGTGAATGTATTCAGATATTTGGGAGTGGACGTGTCAGCGGATGGGACTATGAAAGATGAGGTGAATCATAGAATTGATGAGGGGAAAAGGGTGAGTGGTGCACTTAGGAGTCTGTGGAGACAAAGAACTTTGTCCTTGGAGGCAAAGAGGGGAATGTATGAGAGTATAGTTTTACCAATGCTCTTATATGGGTGTGAAGCATGGGTGATGAATGTTGCAGCGAGGAGAAGGCTGGAGGCAGTGGAGATGTCATGTCTGAGAGCAATGTGTGGTGTGAATATAATGCAGAGAATTCGTAGTTTGGAAGTTAGGAGGAGGTGCGGTATTACCAAAACTGTTGTCCAGAGGGCTGAGGAAGGGATGTTGAGGTGGTTCGGACATGTGGAGAGAATGGAGCGAAACAGAATAACTTCAAGAGTGTATCAGTCTGTAGTGGAAGGAAGGCGGGGTAGGGGTCGGCCTAGGAAAGGTTGGAGGGAGGGGGTAAAGGAGGTTTTGTGTGCGAGGGGCTTGGACTTCCAGCAGGCATGCGTGAGCGTGTTTGATAGGAGTGAATGGAGACAAATGGTTTTTAATACTTGACGTGCTGTTGGAGTGTGAGCAAAGTAACATTTATGAAGGGGTTCAGGGAAACCGGCAGGCCGGACTTGAGTCCTGGAGATGGGAAGTACAGTGCCTGCACTCTGAAGGAGGGGTGTTAATGTTGCAGTTTAAAAACTGTAGTGTAAAGCACCCTTCTGGCAAGACAGTGATGGAGTGAATGATGGTGAAAGTTTTTCTTTTTCGGGCCACCCTGCCTTGGTGGGAATCGGCCAGTGTGATAATAAAAAAAAAAAATTACCCTCTCAAGGAATTAAGAAATACCATCTTCTAACTAGACTTTTCCTCATTATTCCTTACTCCTATTTCCCCTCTTCCCATCCATCCTTACTTCCACAGACTTCCTCTTTCTCCTTCCTCTTCCCTAGTTACCTTCCCTCCCTCTCTTGTCTTAGTGGCTGACTGATGATGTATCCAATTATGTATAGGTAAGTGTATCCAATTATGTATAGGTAAGTATATCCCCCATGTGCCTGTCTGTTCCTTGTTCCTCTTCCCTCTTATTCATCATGTTTCCCTCTCCATGTGGCATTACTGAAGCTTAAATACAGTGGACCCCCGCATAACGATTACCTCCGAATGCGACCAATTATGTAAGTGTATTTATGTAAGTACGTTTGTACGTGTATGTTTGGGGGTCTGAAATGGACTAATCTACTTCACAATATTCCTTATGGGAATAAATTCGGTCAGTACTGGCACCTGAACATACTTACGGAGTGAAAAAATATCGTTAACCGGGGGTCCACTGTATTGACTATTTTTTATATATACCTTTATTTATCATCAGTATCTATTGCTATATTAGGCACTTAAAATAAGTCCAAAGAAATACACTGTGTGGTACTGTAGTTGGTTTTTGCAAATAACACTGGATATAGTACACGACTCATTAGGGAAAATATAATACAAGGGATTTATACAACACACACCTCTTCAAGGGAAAAGGAAGTGCAATGATATCAATGAAGGTTTCTTGATACAAAGAATTGGAATTAATCTTCTCATTCCCCATGCTCTGTCTGACCCCTACTGGTTTAGTGCTTCCCCGTGAATATAATAATACGTACAGAGTACACACCGGGTTAAACAACATGCACCATAAACTAAAACTTACATTTACTAAAGCCCACAATAATCATTAAGGATTCAGGTTAATGTAATAAACTGGGACAGCGTGGCTGTTGAGGATTGCCAGGGTAATGACGGAGAAAGGTAAGGATGAAGCTAGCAACTGTAGCTATTCCTTCACAACTCAAGTGGAAGTGAGTTGGTAATGGAGCTACCCCTCTTTCTTGAATCAATCCTAATGAACTGTGCTCCCATTTCCAACATGCAATACAACCCTTTCATGGGTAAATATTTTAATTGATGGTGTTATTAAAACTTTATGCTGTAGTACAGTATGGTGACTAAGACGTGTGCAACACCTGAGTACCTTTGTTGCCAAAACGTTTCATCTGCACAGAAGTCTTCCTCAGTCAAATAAAAGGCGATTTTAACACCGGAGACAGTATTAGAATCCTTTTGCTTTGAATCAAGGCAAAGGGACTGAACATCTGTGAAAGCTAAGGAACCAAACATCTCAAAAGTACCTCTCCACTTCTTCCATTGTCTCTTCTAGTATTAAAATCACCTCTGTATTCAACTGAAGAAGCCTGCTGTGCGGGTAAAACATTGTGGCAGTAGAGGTACCCAAATGCTGCACGTGTTATTCATCAGCCTATTGTAACTACATAACATTAATATGCAATACAACAGAGAACAGTACTTATATATTTATGCTTGTGTGCCTGCTAGTGTGACTGGTTTTTACTTAAGGGCTAATTTAGTATGCGAGTGTTACCTTTTTATTGACAAAAGCATTGATAACCTTAAATTAGTACATTCACAGGGAAGCACTAAAGCTGGAGGTCATGCAGGAGTGACCTTGTAAGCCCAAGTGCTTGGTAAATCCAGTATTACAACTTCATTCCCATCTTCCACCTTGTTTACCCCACTCCACACCTGACCACCTATACATCTGTCACCCAATGCTACCTGTTATAACTATTTTCCAATACTTATCTAGGATTTAAACAAAATTTTAATGGAGGGTTCAGCACAGCAGCCAATGGGAATGATGGAGGTCCTGGGAAGAAGGGTTAAGAGAGTGAGAATGTGGAGGGGTGGGGGAAGGAAGGATGACAGAGAAGAGATGGATATAAGATGACAGAGGAAGGATATGGAAAGGAAGATGACAGATATCTTCCAGCAGAATTGTAGTCTTACACAAAACACAAAATATTACATCCCTCAGAACTGGAATCTTTTGCACAGGATGTAACTTCCAGTAGAACTGAAGTTTTCCACAACAGTCAGCTAACACAAAGCTAATTATTTTTATGTCTGTACTAGGTGAGCATGGCATATAAGGAAACTTGTCAATATGTTTTAGTGGTCCTATGTTTTATTAGTCTCACCAGTGAGTTATGCATTGTTCCTGGCTGGGATGGGGTATGTGGTGGTGGGGTGTGCTGAAAATGGACAGGGTGGGGTGGGATGGGGCTGAACATAGGGCTGGGCGAGAGTGCACGGGATAAAAGTTAATGAATCTATTTCTCCAGTAATCCTTGGCATTTGTATTCATGCTCTCAAATAACACAGGATTTTATTGTGAAATTACAAAGGGTTTGGGTGTTTTTCTCTCTTGATATGGACCACAGGTCTCTTGCTATTTGCTTGTTACTCTCTTACTCACTATCACATCTTTCTCCCCTCATTCATTTTGTTACATCTTTCTTACTCATTCTGTTGCTCTGTATCTACATATCTTTTATCTCTAAATAAGTCATTAATCTTCTTATATCTATTCCCTATTTTTGTTCCTCACAATGATACTCATGACTTTAGTACAAAAGGATTATATTGTTCAAATTTACAGACTTTTGTCATTAAGTATAACCTATATTTTCAGTAGCTTCCTAGACTCCAACCAGACACCAGCCAGGACCATAGCTCACTCGTTAGCACGCTCAGCTCACACATTGAGGTCCAGAGTTTGAATCTCCAGTACGGCTGGAAAACATTAGGGACATGTTTCCTGAACATACCTGCTGTCCCTGTTCACCCATTAGTATAAAATGGACACCTGGGTGTTAGTCGACTGGTGTGGGTCACATCCTGGAACAAAACTGACCTAATTTGCCCAAAATGCTCTGCATAACAAGCAGCTTTCTATATAGTAGTATGTCATTGATGTCAGCTAGGCCTGCATACCTTATACATGTACTTGTAGAAATAAGGATATTATTATTATTATTATTATTATTATTAGCATTTATCTGCATTACTACTGCCAGCACTACTGGCACTATTAACAGCACTTGTCAATACTACTATAAGTGCTACTACTATAAACAGTACTTGTCAGCACTATTATAAGCACTGTCAGTACTATTATAAGCACTATCAGTGCTACCATGAGCACTACTACTAGCACTTGTTAATACATACTACTGTAAGCACTACTGCTACATACTACCAGCACTACTCTGGGGAACTAATAATGTAGAAGTCAAAACATGATGAGTTTTCTGTCCACCCTGAATGACTGACATGTCTAGTTTTTATTTCAAATTCATGGATTTTGAATTGTTTCTGCCACAATATTTTTACTTATTAGCTCTATTATCATCACTACCATTCACACTTACCAGCACTATTTTTCACACCACTACGAATATTATTTGCACCCAGTCGTATAATATCAGCATTCAGCAGTTATGACTATCACCATTCTCACAAGACTCAGTACTAGTGTTATGGAAACTAGAAGCACCATTATCAGTACTATAAGTACTGTTCTATAAGAATTATTTTTAGTACTATGACCTATGCAATTTGTAATATAATAATCATTACCATCAACATTACTACTATTAGTACAGTGTATGTACTAAAATCAAAGATATAGCTATAGCTAATAATAATTCTGAAAATGAAGAAGACAGAGCTGATAATGCAGATTAAAACATAGCAATGCTGACAGCAGTGCAGATAAGAGGTGATAGAGGTTGTATCTTAGTAGGCAGTGCAAGGCCTGACTCAAGTGCTGATGTGACCTACCTTGAACCAGGTGACAGTAGGCTCTGGTACTCCTGTAACTTGACACTTGAGTTTCACGTTGTGACCCACTGGCTTGTCTATCTTGCCTGGTACAGGTGGCAGCAGCTGTTTCACACAACATCAATAACATCATTAATTCGAGTAGATATAGATTAAAATTTACAATCTAGACTAAATAAATATAATATATATATATATATATATATATATATATATATATATATATATTATATATATATATATATATATATATATATAATATATATATTTATTTATATTATCACACGGCCGATTCCCACAAGGCAGGTTGACCCGAAAAGAAAAACTTTCACCATCATTCACTCCATCACTGTCTTGCCAGAAGGGTGCTTTACATACAGTTTTTAAACTGCAACATTAACACCCCTCCTTCAGAGTGCAGGCACTTACTTCACATCTCCAGGACTCAAGTTCGGCTGCGGTTTCCCTGAATCCCTTCATAAATGTTACTTTGCTCACTACTCCAACAGCACGTCAAGTATTAAAAACCATTTGTCTCCATTCACTCCTATCAACACGCTCACGCAAGCCTGCTGGAGAATCGAAGCCCTCGCACATCAAAACCTTTCCCTTTTTACCACCCTCCTCCAACCCTTCCTAGCCGATCCCTACCGCACTTCCTTCCATACGACTGTACACTCTTGAAGTCATTCTGTTTCGCTCCATTTCTCTACATGTCCGAACCACCTCAACAACCCTTCCTCAGCCCTCTGGACAACAGTTTTGGTAATCCCGCATCTCTCCTTTACCTAATTCCAAACTACGAATTCTGCATTATATTCACACCACAACATTGCCCTCAGACAACGACAATCTCCACTGCCTCCAGCCTTCTCCTCGCTGCAACATTCATCACCCACGCTTCAACACCATATAAGCGTTGGTTTAAAACTATACTCTCAACATCCCCTCTTTGCCTCCAAGGACAAAGTTCTTTGTTCCACAGACTACCTAAGTGCACCACTCACTCTGTTTCCCTCATCAATTCTATATTCACCAAAATCTTTCATAGACCTCCGCTGACACGTCCACTCCCAAATATCTGAATACGTTCACCTCCTCCATACTCTCATCCCTCCAATCTGATATTCAATCTTTGCGTCACCTATCTTTTGTTATCCTCATAAACCTTACTCTTTCCGGTATTACCTACAAATTTCTATCTTTTGACACCCTACAAATTCATCCACCATTCTGCAACTTCTCTTCAGAATCTCCAAGAGCACAGTCATCACAAAGAGAGCTTTGTGACAACACCCACTTGTGTGTGATTCTTTATCTTTTAACTCCACCCTCTTGCCAAGACCCTCGCATTTACTTCTCTTACAACCCATCTATAAGATATATTAAACAACCACGGTGACATCACACATCCTTGTCTAAGGCCTACTTTTACTGGGAAAAAATTTCCCTCTTTCCTACATACTCTAACTTGAGCCTCACTATCCTCGTAAAAACTCTTCACTGCTTTCAGTAACCTACCTCCTACACCAATACACTTGCAACATCTGCCACATTGCCCCCCTATCCACCCTGTCATACGCCTTTTCCAAATCCATAAATGCCACAAAGACCTCTTTAGCCTTATCTAAATACTGTTCACTTATATGTTTCACTGTAAACACCTGGTCCACACACCCCTACCTTTCCTAAAGCCTCCTTGGTTCATCTGCTATCCTATTCTCCGTCTTACTCTTAATTCTTTCAATTATAACTCTACCATACACTTTACCAGGTACACTCAACAGACTTATCCCCCTATTAATTTTTGCACTCTCTTTTGTCCCCTTTGCCTTTATACAAAGGAACTATGCATGCTCTCTTGCCAATCCCTAGGTACCTTACCTCTTCCATACATTTATTAAATAATTGCACCAACCACTCCAAAACTATATCCCCACCTGCTTTTAACATTTCTATCTTTATCCCATCAATCCCGGCTGCCTTACCCCCTTTCATTTATACTACTGCCTCACGAACTTCCCCCACACTCAAACTGGCTCTTCCTTACACCTACAAGATGTTATTCCTCCTTGCCCTATACACGAAATCACAGCTTCCTATCTTCATCAACTTTAACAATTCCTCAAAATATTCCCTCCATCTTCCCAATACCTCTAACTCTCCATTTAATAACTCTCCTCTCCTATTTTTAACTGACAAATCCATTTGTTCTCTAGGCTTCTTAACTTGTTAATCTCACTCCAAAACTGTTTTCTATTTTCAACAAAATTTGTTGATAACATCTCACCCACTCTCTCATTTGCTCTCTTTTTACATTGCTTCACACTCTCTTAACTTCTCTCTTTTTTCTCCATATACTCTTCCCTCCTTGCATCACTTCTACTTTGTAAAAACTTCTCTATGCTAACTTTTTCTCCCTTACTACTCTCTTTACATCATCATTCCACCAATCGCTCCTCTTCCCTCCTGCCACCCACTTTTCTGTAACCACAAACTTTGCTGAACACTCTAACACTACATTTTTAAACCTACCCCATACCTCTTCGACCCCATTGCCTATGCTCTCATTAGCCATCTATCCTCCAATAGCTGTTTATATCTTACCCTAACTGCCTCCTCTTTTAGTTTTATATATATATATATATATATATATATATATATAATATATTATATATATATATATATAATATATATATATATATATATATATATATATATATATATATACTATACATAAATTATATACCATAATTACAATACAGGTATATAAATATTTAATAGAAAATGTGTATAAAACATGTTACACCCTAGTAGTAATGGACATGGGAGTTTGAGGGGACTGATGTAGAGTAGTAGGTTTACTGCTGGATTGTATACTCACTGTTCATGACTAAGTCACCGGCTCTACTGTCAATATCTTAAAAAAATTTAGTTCAAAACATGCTTTGCTATCGTCTGTGCGAGACCTCGTTCTTCCCTTTTCAGTCTTAACACCTGTCTTCCTACAGTCATTCTTTCTTCAGTCATCACTGGAGAACTTCAGTTCTGTTTTAGCCTTGGCAGCAATGCTATTTCCATATTACCTCTCTACTTTCTTGCTTAGTCTTGCATAGTTATTCTTTCTTGTGCTCAGGAAGAATGTCTCCCTCGCCTCCCTACACGTTCCATTTATTACATCTGGTATCTCCTGCCTCGCCTTTTCAGATAGTTTTCTTTCCCACTGGGTTTCCTTCAGGAAATTCGTCAGGCGTTTAGTTGCCCCCTTTTGTAGTCTGAGTTATAACTGGGTGTATGGGCGTGTGTGTGCATGTGGGCGTATAAGCCTATGTGTATATACAGGTGGGTGTATGTGCAAGTGTGGGGGTGTATGGGCATGTGTTTTGAGAGTATGTAAACTGGATAATATATTAAATATTTATCTCACCTGTGTGAATTCTGGGGGAAGACCTCCAGCTACTGACGACGACGATGACGATGACCCTGCTAGAGGATCTGCAGTTCATCACAGGCCAGCAGGGGTCACCACACGACAGCAGGGGTCACCAAAGGACAGCAGGGGTCATCACAGTACAGCAGGGGTCACACAGCACAGCAGGGGTCACCAAAATAATCACCACGAGAAAAAGATACATTTTTATTGTTACCTGTATATAAATAATTTGATTAGTGCCTTCTCAGATCAATTTATATGATTCAAAAGCTCATAAATGCTGCATGATCCATGTAAGTTTAGCGCCTTTGCTAACATAATAAGAAGTTAGTAAAACTTGTACAATGAGTTGACCAAGAAAAATAACCTGATCGTAAAAGCCCACAAGAAGGCCTCACATATATCCAGTCATCACAGTTTCACAATAACAAGGATAAAGTCAAGGCCACACGAATAATTATTTAAATTCAACCAGACCCAAGTAGTGGAACTAAGTACTACCCCCCCCCCAACACACACACAATGCTACTACTACATCTCTGCTTCTTGCACCGTCTGAGGGAGTGTTTTGGGAGTTAATGAATTATGCAAATGAGACAGACGGGGGCACATATTGCCTTCCCCACCAATTCAACACTCCCCCAGCCACCAACCCTTCTCTCACTATCTACCTACCCTACCATGGCTGTAATAGGTCGGGATAGAGAATGACAATGGGAGAGAGAGAGAGAGAGAGAGAGAGAGAGAGAGAGAGAGAGAGAGAGAGAGAGAGAGAGAGAGAGAGAGAGAGAGAGAGAGAGAGAGAGAGAGAGAGCACACACACACGAGTGAAGAGTAACTTACCTAATCTATTTACTCTCAAGTTAGGTCGTAAGTGAGGATATTAGCCTTAATAAACTAGCAACTTTAACCATTTGCATATAATCTAAACTTACAATTACTCACTACATTAACCTTATTCAACATGCAAATTAATATTCACATTTACCAATGTGCTCAAAAAATATTTTAATAACATTAAAAGTGCCCAAACCCTCGAAGGAAAATATTTTCCGGCAGAGCGAATTTTTAATTCTAATAAAATATTTTTCCTATTATGAGTTGGTCAAATATTTTTTCAAACACATCGCCTCTATTTTTATACTTTATTATATTTTATACTATATTCTATTATATATATATACTATACTACATTATACACACGCTGGGGTTGGAAAAAATAACATGAACACCTGCTGACTGAAGAGTCGAACTGTCGAATGACTCAATAATCAATTTAAATGTGTTACATAAGAACATAAGAAAGAAGGAACACTGCAGCAGGCCTACTGGCCCATGCGAGGCAAGTCCAAGTCACCTCTCGGCTTAAACCAATGACCCACCTAGTCAGGTTAGGCTAGGTCACATCCACTTGAGGGGGCACGGCATCAGACCTACTAGCACAAGCTAGTCAGGTCCAACCCACACCCACCTACGCCCACTCATGTACATGTATTTACCAAACCTATTTTTAAAACAACACAACGTCTTAGCTTCTATAATGGTACTCGGAAGTTCGTTCCACTCATCCACAACTCTATTACCAAACCAGTGCTTTCCTAACGAGACTCAAGAAATCGTAATGACACGATTGCAAATAAACCATACCCCCGGCCGGGATTGAACCCGCGGGTTCAATCCCGGCCGGGGGTATGGTTTATTTGCAATCGTGTCATTACGATTTCTTGAGTCATGTTGACGGCAGTGAAGGGACTTGAGCTAGAGTTCGTCACGGCCACGCTAGCTGGAGATTCGTCTGTAAAAACTTGCATTTGTGGTCACAGAGGTGCCTGTGCTAACTTTCCTATGGTGTAGAAATATACCTAGTTGGATGAATCTTATTGTGGCTAGCTGGTCTAGTGGCTAACGCGACGGGCTAGAGTTTTGAGACTCTATGACCGCGGGTTCAATCCCGGCCGGGAGTATGGTTTCAGTGCTTTCCTATATCCTACCTGAATCTGTTTTTTTCCAAATTTAATCCATTGCTGCGAGTCATGTCTTGGCTAGATATTTTTTAGCACGCTATTTACATTACCTTTATTTATTCCTGTTTTCCATTATACACCTCAATCATATCCCCCCAAATTCTACGCCTTTCTAGAGAGTGCAGATTCAGGGACTTCAGTCTATCCTCATTGGGAAGATTTCTGATACATGGGATCAACTTTGTCATCCTCCTTTGTACGTTTTCCAGTGCATGAATATCCTTTCTGCAATAAGGTGATGAGAACTGAGCAGCATAATCTAAATAAAGCCTAACCAAGGATATATAGAGTTGAAGAAGCGACCTGAGAACTCCTATTATTTGTGCTCCTTGATATGAAGCCAAGGATTCTGGTCCCTTTTTGCACTATCTTCCAAGACGATAATGCACCAATTCATACCGCTAGAGTTGTTCAAAATTAACACGAAGAACATGAAGTGAAGTCGAACACTTGGATTGGCCCCCACAATCGCCAGATCTAAATATTATTGATAATTTTCAATAATATTTAGATTCATGTAGCATTTGAACAATATCCAGGTAAATTTTGAGCTACAAGACTCAATTCCTCGACGAACTGGCGTTGTTTTAGCTGCAAATGGAAGACCAACTCCCTATTGAACACACTGAGAATAAAATTTTTTACAGAACAGTCTTCATATTATTTTCAACCACTGTAAATATATATATATATATATATATATATATATATAATATATATATATATATATATATATATATATAACTAACACTTGTGGGACAGCTATAAGTTTTAAGACCAGGGAAAGATATATACATGACAATATACTAAAAACAATGAAGGGAACTTTTTATTTTAACGCTGGCTGGAATATTGCTCGTTACTGGCATAAAAGATTTTTAATTCCAAGTATATATATATTTCAATAATATATATTGCGAAGTCTAATATTCTAAATTAGATTCACAAAATGAATTTACGATTTCTTTAATTTTCATTTGTCAGAGCTGGGATTTTGTACTCTTTATTTTTTATTGTTTTCAACAGTCATGATAAATTTGTTTACGTTATTTTACGCACATTTCTAAGTTGATCTGTTGCTCATGGCCATAGTTTAAATTATATTTGTTATGCCTCAAAGTGTTATACACTCGCTAGCTCAGATTTGTGAAAAAAGAAATTGGGAATGGAAAACTGGAGATATGCGTGAGTGAGTGAGAGAGAGAGAGAGAGAGAGAGAGAGAGAGAGAGAGAGAGAGAGAGAGAGAGAGAGAGAGAGAGAGAGAGAGAGAGAGAGAGAGAGAGAGAAAATATTGACTTTCTTACAAGTTTGAGAATAATGAAGCAGACTTCAGACAACGACAGTCAAGGGTGGTGAAGGGGGAAGTAGAGTAGTAGGCTGGGAAGAGAAAAAAAAAGGAGTTGTGGAAATAGAAGATGGAGGAAGATGAGTGAATCAGTACATATGCAGTAAGCTGGGGCTTGGTAATCGTCTATAACTCTGAATACTGGAAATTAATTCAACACTACACCGTAACGACCATCTGGACACACAATCTACCTTTTTTCCCCAATGAAGTAATTCAAGTCATAAAAGGTTACATATACGAGCATCCATTATACCTCATCAACAGCATAAGTTAAAACTTAGACCTGAAAGTTCTGCGTGGTCTAAGCAGGCCTTGACAAAACTAAAAACCGTTGTGGCTTTATAAATAGCGAGGATAAACAGTTCAGATGGGAACTACAGTCAACATCATGTATGGATATGCATGAAGAGGCAGGATCCCTGGGGTAACCATGGGCGAGAGTACACCAGGTTTTTAACTGACAAGGATTTGTCTCAAATTGAACAGTCCTGTGAGCAGAGGACAAAACACCCACATCCTGTTGAACCCTATGAAGCTATTTCAGTGCAAGTCCAACCATGGGCATACTGCAGGTTCAACCATGGGCATACTAAAGGTCCAACCATGGGCATACTGCAGGTTCAACCATGCATACAAAGTCTAACCTGGGCGTGTCTGCGGGTTCAAAACAAGGGCTTTACTAAAGAGGTAAACCAAAATGGGCAACTGCAGTCAACCATGGGATACTAAAGGTCCAACCATGGGCAAGTAACTGCAGGTTTAACCATGGTTGTCATCAAATGAACAGTCTTGAGCAGAGGTCAAACACCCACATCCTGTTGAGCCCTATGAAGCTTATTTCAGTGCAAGTTCAACCACGGGCATACTAAAGGTCCAACCATGGGCATACTGCAGGTTCAACCATGGGCATACTAAAGGTCCAACCATGGGCATACTGCAGGTTCAACCATGGGCATACTAAAGGTCCAACCATGGGCATAATACAGGTTATACGGTCTGCTATAGTATGGCCCCTACGGACTTAATTAACGCTTCTCCATTAATATACTAACAGGTTAATAATACTGAAGCACAACATACTACACTATACACCGGGCCGAACATACACACTTTTCACATTCATCTCCATGCATATAACAATCACTAAATGTATGCGTTTTTCACTGGCCGAAAGCAATTTCATTATCCAACATGAAATATGAATGAATGTTTTATTCAGTACTCAGCACGAGATGTGGCTTTACTGAGGACTCAGTAGCACAAGGTGTGGCTTTATTCAGCACTCAGTAGCACGAGGTGTGGCTTTATTCAGCACTCAGTAGCACAAGGTGTGGCTTTATTCAGCACTCAGTAGCACGAGGTGTGGCTTTATTCAGCACTCAGTAGCACAAGGTGTGGCTTTATTCAGCACTCAGTAGCACAAGGTGTGGCTTTATTCAGCACTCAGTAGCACGAGGTGTGGCTTTATTCAGCACTCAGTAGCACAAGGTGTGGCTTTATTCAGCACTCAGTAGCACAAG